GGAGCACACCTTTTCATAACATATATGTGACGGCTTCAGGGATGGAGGGTGAGGGTGAGTTGGTTTCAAAGTGTATCCCGCCTGAGCCTTGCGCGCGCACATGTTTTTCCTCTAGCAGTGCTTGCACTCATGGGGTTTTGACTTGCCTTACCCAGGCCTTGAACGTGTCGGGTTCTCGCCGGACCGCCACCCATTGCCGCCTCGTTGCCGCCCACTTGGGGGGGGGGCCCGCCGAGGCTTGACCGCGCGGCCGCCCGTTGCCGCTTCGTTGCCGCCCAATCAGAAGGGTCCGCCGAGGTTTCGCCGCGTCGCCGCCCGCTGCCGTCCTCTCGGCGGTCCGTCGAGGTTTCGCCGCATCGCCGCCCGTCGCCGCATCGTTGCCGCCCCGTGTACGTCCACTTGTGGGATCCGTCGAAGTTTCGCCGCGTCGCTGCCCGTTGCCGCTTCGTCGCCGCCCCCCCGGCGGGCCCTTCGAGGTGTCAGGCCCCCAGAGACCAGGACGCAGATAGGCCAGGGCACGGAAACCCAAGGAAACGGCGCCCTTTCCTGCAAAGTCATATTTTCCAGCACCCGTGCATGTTTTGTTTGCTGCTTTGCAGGGTTCGGGTTTGCGTCCGGGCTTAGGGGGTCTTGCAGGCTTTTCGGGCCTGTGTCTGGGTTTAGTATGGAAATGTTGCAGTGCAGTATTTTGTTCGTGCCGCTGTCTCTGGAAGAGTCGGTTTCGAGTGATGTTGGGTGTCCGGGTCTAGCGTGTCTGCGCTTACGGGGCCTAACGTGTCGCGGCCCGTTGTCGCCTCGTTGCCGATTCGCTGCCGCCCATGTGAATGGGTCCGTCGAGTTTTCGCCGCGTTGTTTCTTGTTGCCGCCTCGTTGTCGCCCGCCGCTCTTGGGGGTTCCGTCGGTATTGCGTCACATAGCTTGCACGGCCCAGCTTGCACCACAAAACTTGCACCACGTAGATTGCATCACATAGCTGCTAACACATCAGCCGTGCAATGCATTCTTGATTGTGGTCTCTGGTGTGTAGCATAATCTGTGGGCAGATCTACTTGCACACAGACGAAACAGCTTCTGGGATCGGGGGCGCTCGGTTCTCGAAATGCTGATATCGGCGCAGCGCCGCGACCATTCGTCCTAAACAGTTGCACGGCCTCAAGGATCGAGGGCGGCTCGTTTTCAAACTTGGGATTTCGCTTTAGCGCCGCGTGCATTGGATTCAAACTTCGCTTCAGCTTGAAGGATTGTTTGGGGCTCCTTTTCAAGCTGGAGCGCTCGTTTCAGTAATCCTCGAGCTTCAAGGGGTACACTGGCAAACTTAACTTGTGCAATTTTTGCACGGATGGGTGCGGTCCTCTTTCGAAAGAGGGGTCTTGCTGGATTATCGTGGGCACCTCCTTGAACTGTATGATCGTACTTCTTCGCAGTCCTAGTGATCCGCCAGATGGGTGCGGGGCAGTTCCTTCTCAAAGCTGGGCCCTCGCCAGAATGACCCACCCACGTGGTGCTGGTCTTCTGGGGGGGGGGGGGGGCGCTTCTTGGCAGGGCGTGTGGGGAGGGGAGCTGGGACGGGAAGGTGGATTCGGTTTACTCTGGTCCGCCGCCTCCTCCATCGTAGCGGCGTGCTGGGGTCGCCCGGCAACGGGCTGCCGCCCTCGGTCTGCCCCTCCCCGTGGAGGCCCGCAGAGGAGGAGGAGCAGGCTGAGGAGGTGGAGGAGGCTGAGGAAGAGGAGGAGAGAGAGGGTCTCTCCCTCCCTCCCCCCCTGATCCCTCCCCCTCTTCCTCCCCTCCTCCTGGGGACGTGGGGATCGGACGTGGGGAAGGGAGAGGGGGCGGGTGAGGAGGGGAGAGAAGGTGAGTGACGAGTCGTAGGAGTCGTAGGAGGGGGGAACGGGGATGGGGAACTGGAGGAGGGATCGGAGGAATGAAAGGAGAGGGAGAGGGACTGCAGGAAGGCTGGGGGGAAGAGAGGGGGGAGTGAGGAAGGGGGGCACAGGGGGAATGGGGAGGGGGGGAAGGGGGGCAGGAGCACTGGCGAAGGGAGAGGAAGAGCAGGCGAATGGGGATGGTGGGTGGGTGCGGGTACGAGGCGAGGCAGGGGCGGGACGGGGTGGCAGAGAAGGAGGACAGCGAGGAGGAAGAGACAGGCGACCTCCCTCCTCCCTCCTCCCTCCTCCCTCCTCCCTCCTCCCACCTCCTCCTCCTCCTCCTCCTCCTCCTCCTCCTCCTCCTCCTCCTCCTCCCTGCTCCCTGCTCCCTGCTGACATCCGCGGCCGTGGCAGGAGGAGTCCCAGTCCGACGAGATCGTGGTCAGGGTCGGCGAGGCCCGCCTGCGCGCCACCCTTCGCAGCACTCCTGGGGAACGTTGTGCAGCCGACGCCGCCGGCAAGAAAGCCCGCCAGCCAGAAGTATTGGTTTTTGAAGCGCTGTAGGTTCACGGCATGTGTGAATTCAGAATCCGTCCGACACCCGCCGTTCAATTCATTCAGGAACCGTCATGTACATGCCGTCTTATACGGTCTTGCTGATTTCATTAACATGCAGTTCTACACATGCGTCTTTTTGGACTCATGCAGCAACCGTTCTATACATGTTATGACATACAAGGCCCGTCAGCAGGCACATCCAAACGCAGTGAACAAAATTGCGGGCTACCTCTGTGGACTGGGGGCCGGTCATCTATCGTAGGGCTTTGTCGGTCATGGGTGGCGCCTGGCGCAGCAAGACACTATCATGTGACGGAAAGAGCGAGGTACGAGCGAGTGACGTTGAGCAGGGGGCGAAGCCTCAATAGGGAGGGGTCCAGGGGAGCTGCGAGGCCTGGGCGCATTGGTCTAATGGCTCGTTTCCCTCGTAGTTTTTTCGAGTGAAGCGGCTCCCGGGCGGCTCCCATGGCCAGTTTTTTGTATTATTTTCAGGTAATGGAAAGAGCGAGGTACGAGCGATGACGTTGAGCAGGGGGCGAAGCCCTAACTGGGAGGGGTCCAGGGGAGGGGCGAGGCCCGGGGAGATTGGCGTTAATGGCCGTTTTGGGGGGTTTTCCCACGAGTTTTTGCATGTTTTCGGATTTCAATTATTTTCCGTCCCAGAAGAGCCCAAGACCGCCCAAGACAGGCCCAAGACGTCCCAAGAGGCCCCCAAGAGGCCCCCATGAGGCTCCCAAGGGGCGTCCCAAGAGGGCCCCAATAGGCCCAAATCATATATTTTCCCATGGGAAGCGTCAATTTTTAGCATATACGGTTTTCCGCTTTTTACGGCGTTGACGACGGCCAAGAAGGCCCCCAAGACCGCCCCAAGACGGCCCAAGAGGCTCCCAAGAGGCCCCCAAAACGGCCGAAGAGGGCCCCGGACGGCCCAAGAGGCGCCCAAGACGGCCCAAGAGGGCCCCAAGACGGCCCCAAGAGGGGGACCACGAACCCGAAAGTCTAGCCTATCGGCCCAAGACGCTCCGGGGAGGCCCCCACAGCCCCCCAAGAAGCCCCAAGAGGCCCCCAGGACGCGTCCCACGAGGCCATCAGAAGGCCAAAATCATATATTTCTATTGGAAAACGTGCGATTTTGGCGTACACGGCTTTTCGGCTTTCACGGCGTTGACGACGGTCCAAGAGGCCCCCAAGACCGCCCCAAGACGGCCCAAGAGGCTCCCAAGAGGCCCCCAGAACGGCCCCAGAGGGCGCCAAGGCGGCCCAAGAGGCGCCCAAGACGGCCCAAGAGGGCCCCAAGACGGCCCCAAGAGGGGGACCACGAACCCGAAAGTCTAGCCTTTCGCCCCGAGACGCTCCGGGGAGGCCCCCACAGACCCCCAAGAAGCCCCAAGAGGCCTCCAGGAGGCCCCCAATAGGACACCCACGAAGGCCCAGAGACGCCAAGAGCGATCGGTAACGCAAAAAGCTCTTCACACCAAGGCTTCCAAGAGCGAGCGGTGACGTACACAAGCTGATAAGACCAAGGTTCCCAGCAGAGAGTGGTGACGTAACAAGTTCCTGACACCAAGGCCCAGCCAAGGCTCAGGAACGGGCGGCAACGCAACCATCTCTGAACACCAAGGCTCCCAAGAGCGAGGGGTGACGTAACAAGCTCTCAACGCCAAGGCTCCGGGTACGAACGGTGGTGTGAGTAATTTCGGTACCTGTTGCTGCAGCGCTCTTTCCGTTTCTGTGCCGGGCCAGGTGAAGCGGCCCAAGGGCCCCAAGACGGCCCAAGAGGGCGTCAAGACGGCCCCAGGAGAGTTTCAGATGGCCGCTGGACGGTCCAAGAGAGTCTCGAGACGGCCACAGAGGCCCCCGAGAGGGCCCCAGGAGGCGAAAAGCCTTCATTTCCTTTGGATTTTTGAAGGTTTTTCGGGTTCTCCCCTTTTCCGTCCCAGACGGGCCGCACACGGCCCCAGAGGCCCCAAAGATCGTCCCAAGACAGCCCCCGAGGCGCCCCAAATTGACCCAAAACGGTCCAAGAGAGCCCCCAGACGGGCCCAAGACGGCCCAGAGGTTCCCAAAATCGTCCCAAGACGGTGCCGCAGGCGCCCCAAACGGGCCCAAAACGGTCCCAGAGGGCCCCCCGACGGGCCCACGACGGCCTAAGAGGCCCCGAAGATCATCCCAAGACGGCCCCCGAGGCGCCCCAAAGGGGCCCAAAACGGCCCACGATGGCCCCCAGACAAAGAGCCCCAATATGCTCCCAAGCGCGCCCGAAGAGGAGGAGGAGAAGGAGGAGGAGGAGGAGGAAGAGGAGGAGGAAGAGGGAAAGGAGGAAAAGGAGGAGAAGGAGGAGGAGGAGGAGGAGGCGGAG